TGACTAATACGGAGGAATTGATATAACTACACTGAGCTACTTATATAGACATTGAGATTAGCTGATTACGAAACAATGGTTACGAATTGCCAACGGTGGTCAGAGAACACATGATATGCAAGGCACTATAGAGAGACATACAAGAAACCGTAAACAATGAACAAAAGATCACCAGTTTATCACAACATGATCCTTCATAATAGTAAAGCAATTCTTTTGATGAAAATCAAAAGTTCACTCATACAGAATTTCGACTGTTTATGAATTACTATACTTACACGATAAGATGCGCAGTTTTTTATCGCCGAAAATGGACCGAAAGCAGAAGAGAGGTCGAATGACACTAAAGAGGATTTTTCCTTCCTCATGTGACTCTCATGGGGGTTGATAATAGTAATGGGCCCTAGTAGAGGAAGAATCTCTACAATGAATTTTCGACTGAAATCTCATCCGGCATCTTATGTATCTCATGGATTGTCGGCTGAGTCTAACTAGCCTGGAAGCCACTTCTGATCCACTGCATAAGCTCGAAACTTCGTGGCCGGTCAATCTGCCTAAAGACATTTTGCCTAATGGACAGTTTGCCTAAGGAACAGTTTGCCCATTGGGCGAAATATCCATTAAAAACCGTAAGTTAGGCAAACTGTCCGTTAGGCAAAATGCCTTTAGGCAGATTGACCGGGTACCCGAAAGTCAGCTCTCTCTATCGGCGAAGCGCAGCTTCGTGACTTTTGTCGAGTATTAACTGTTCAGTTGAAAAAGTTTTGCGCGAATCGTGGCTGGGTTAGAGTGAAAAAGAGTGAAAACCTCGGAAATCTCCAAGAATATGCTTAATCAACTGCAACCGAGAGGGAAGTTTTTCGGAAATTACTTAATAATATATATTCCCTGATCAAAATCCTCTCAGATGTAGTGGTTCACCTTGCCTTCTCAGCACCAAAAATCTGACTACCGTATGCATCTCCTCATCCAAGTGGAACTACTATCACGAAACTTCTCATTGATGGTGTTCTTTTCAGAAAGAGCCACATCTTATTTAGAAACTGATGCTCATTCATCATTGCTGTCTATTCACGGCAGCGCTTCTGACATGCAACGAGGTGGTATTGAACATTTGAATCCGCCTAAAACTAGTGTTATCACAATCAATAACAATAAAAAATCTGTTGCTGCCTGGAGGAACACGGTAGCGTTGGCACGGCGTAAAACACGTCGGAAGGTAAGTGATGCATTTTTTGGAAAATCAATCATCAGAATTCAATTGCTCAAGAGTTTCGACAGCTTCGAAGCTCTCTAAATTTCGAAATCTGCTTAAATCAAGGAAACAATAGAGGTTTTGTTTGAGCAACTGCAAAAATCTAAATAATTAGCCACTTCTGGACAATGCTTGTTGTAAAGTCGATTACGTTATTCATCAATGACGCTTCCTGAAAAGGATTTCAGCTTTGTCACATCGTAAGGCATCTTTCGGAATCTCGAAACATCTGTCCTTCTTGAATTTTGAACTTTAAAGGATTTAGCGCCCGGCGGAGGTCCATTCACCGTACTTCTAATTCAAATCCTCGAAAGCAATGTGATTTACCGTCGCATTCAGATTCTAATTCAAATTGCTTATTTGAAAAAGGTTCGGATAGTGTGAGGAACAGAACTGACCCAATTCAAGATCATTGTTGTTGAGCGTATATGCTCACATGAAATTTTCATTTGATTTATTGCAGGCATTTTTGATGTTGACTCTAAATATGATCTTTTGGATGCCATATTGTGTTATGGGTATTTTGAGTACGATTATGATATTGGACCATTCGGCTTATAATTTTTTGAATGCGCTCGTCGTGCTCAATGCCGTTTCGAATTTATTCCTGTGAGCGTTCAACGCTCGTGATAACAAATAATTTTTTTCGAGTCGTCCCTGATACTGCTGTGTCTTGGTTTATGTGGAATGCCTTTCTCACTAGTCTCCGCCATTGATCTCTGTGCGCATTANTCGCAAAACAAAGCATTCACAAGTTGAGATGTGCATGGAAACGCATTTCCAAATCGCATTTATACAAAAACACCAATGGATTCAATTAGGGTGTACATATTTCCACGTTGAATTCCATCCTGAAGTGTGTTCGATTGAAATTATAAAGCGAATATTCATTCGAAAACCCAAACCAGCATCATTTCTGAATTAGAATCAACGAACTTTTGCAAAAGAATCAGTGAAAAAGCGATGCAAGTTTTATCGCTCTCAATATATTAGAGTCGTTTACTCACTACCAAAACGTTATTGTCATGGTGGAACCGTGAACTATTAAAGGAAAATGCGTCAATTAATGTTGTTCCATACGATGATGGATTATTTAGTTATTGAATGACAATCGCTAATTTTGACAAGGAAAAACAAAAATGGACGAATAAATCGTTCGATTTGTTGAGATATGCCACGAATAGAGGAATTAAGTGAAATCTGGATGTAAAAGTGTATGTGTGTTGTGCAGATGCGGCACAATTTTGCGTTGTTCTCATTCTGTTACCGTTTCGAATGATCATTTTTCAAGCTTATGTGTGTATTATGAAATGAAATGGATGAAATGTTCAATGAAAGACTGTATTGTATATTGCGTTGTATTTACACGTGAAACAGAATAAAGATATTCACACGATGAGCACAGCCCTGAATGAACTATGAAATGCGTTCAATGACAACAGAATTTCATCGAAAATCACACGTTAAGGATGCTCAATGATTTACATGAGAAAGTTCCGACGAACTGCACACAAATTTTTCGTCGTCAATATCGATGGGAATCAAACGGTGAGGTTATATGGGAAAATTCGCTCGGCTGACACAAGTTTCTCGCATCATGAAAGGAGTTTTGCGAAAATTTTACTTATTACCGGTAGGAAAATCTCAC